CAAAAAATCAAAACAAAACAAAAAGCACAAAGAAAACCACCACTAACCCCCTAAAAACAACCACAACAACGAACGAACAAACAAACAAACAAACAAAAAAAACCCCAAAAACCCCCCAATCAAACCAAAAACCAAAACAACCACCTTTCCGCCAACCTCAGACACCACTCTCACTTCGGGATTTTCTTTTCTTTTTTTTTTCAGAGTCAGGTGGAGGGTAGCTCTTCGACCCCGGGTTTGAAGAGGTCCTCACAAGACTCTTCCAAACGTGGCGTCCATTCGATTGCAAGCCTCGATCTTAACAAAAAAGGATGGAAAATTCGGGCTCGGGTGATCCACAGATCCGACATGCAGCACTATAGCAATGATAAAGGCCCGGGCTGTTTCTTCAAAGTTATTTTTTTGGATGACAGCGGAGAGATTTGTTGCACAGGATTTAATGAATGGGCACACGCATACTTTGACAAGTTCACTGTGGGCGAAGTGTATTATATTTCCAACTGCCTACTGCAGAATGCGAAGCAAAAATATGACACTGTGAAAAACAAGAACCAGATGACATTGGGTCGTGATTCAAGGATTGAGATTTGTCCTGATTATAGTAGATCAACTGTGCCAGATATGAAATTTAACTTTGTGAAGCTATCTGATTTGGAGAAATATGAGAACGACTCCCTTGTAGACGTTATTGGTGTTGTCGTAGGGTGCGACGACGTTGTCCCAGTACCGTCGAAACTGGGAAGCATGAAGCGAGACCTCCGGATCATTGATGGGTCTAAAATGAGAGTTACTCTGACCTTGTGGGGAGAGACAGCGAAGACGTTTGACGGCGAGAACAGCCCTGTGGTAGCTGTGAAAAGAGCTAAAGTTACGTATTTTAATGAAAAGACCCTTTCAGTGCTAGTGGAGAGCCCACTGAGGATGAATCCTAACCTGAAAGAGGCAGATGACTTGCGGATTTGGTTCGACGATGAATGCAAGGATCTTGATTCCGACCTGTTCGAAACAGGAGGGGAGAGGAAATTTCCTGAGCAGGTAGATTGAATGGGCGGTCTTGCTTCTGTTTGTTCAATATGCTCTCTGGATTTCTTTACCTAACATTCTAGCTGTTATACGGGGGCTCTCATGGCCTAGAGGTTAAGGTGGTGACATCTCATTCAAAGGTCGCGGGTTTGAATCTGGGTAGCGACAGAACAATTTTATTCTCTAAATTTGTCTCCTTTCACCTCCTTTCCTGCTCTCTAGCAATGTTCTGTTGTCTGCTTTCATTTCCACTTTCTGCCCCCACCCCCTCACCTCCTTTGCCCCCTCCTGTGGGCTCATTCTTTCTGCAGCCTTTCTACTGCTACTCCTTGGCTCTTCCTTACTGCTGTCTTTCTGCCTCACCCTTGATCTTCTGGTAGGATGGATCTACACCTAGCCTTCTCGGACAAGGGCGAAAAATCTCGGAGGGCCCGTGTGCAAGTTGCGCACATTAAAGATCCCTTGGTGGTCTAAAATCGATTATCTATAAGAGTAGGCTTCGGCCCCCACCTGGGCAAAATTCAAAATTTCCTACCAACTGAAAATATTAGGTGTGTCCCGCGCGCTCATATTCATATGACCTTATGCAGTTGCAAGCGCCGTAAAACACTTTATTTACAAAAACAAATTCTGTTATACTTCTTCTCGTCTCTCTCTAGTTCAACCCAGGTTCAGATCGGTTTCATAAGCTATTACAATTTTACAAACCCTAGAGAGCACATATTATTTGCTGTGGGACATCATGTATCGCTGAGAATTTAGCGTCCATTATTGTTTAAAAAGTAAATATTATGGTTCAGTTGCTCTGGAAACGTTAACGGCGCCATATTGGATTTTGTTTACCTTTTTTTATCCTGTTTTTTAAATTTGTTTAAATGTACAAATTCACTTTTAATTTTACATTTTACAGTACGTAGTAAAAGTACAGATAAAAAATTTGTGTTGAGGAATTTTTGGTATATGCTTTAGTTTTCATTTTATAGCACATTAAAATTATCGGCTAATTGCATAATTGTGAAAAAAAACCTAGGGAAAAATCTAACTTTCTCTGAGGCAATTTTTTATCAAAAGTTAAAGCAATCAAAATTTCCTCAGAACTTTTTTAGAACTAGGTGTCTCGTTAACATTCTGTGAAAGTTACATTAAAATCAAATACGAAACAGAGCAGAAAAATGGGATATTAAAGTGTGTGAAAATAACATTTTGATCAAACGGCCGATTGAGGTAAGAAAAGGCCGAAAACAACAGAGTCGATATGTTCTCTGGTTTGAGCTTTATTTCAGACTTCAGTACCCCAAATCTGGAAACTAGAAGAATACCAAAGTCATTCTCCACAATTCTTCTTACCCCTTGAGAGTCGGTAATTAAATATTCTTTTTGCCATCTTGCACCCTCTCATTGTAAGGCTTCTAAAAGTTCAGTCGTAGAGCAAGGCTTCATCTGCAATGAACACGTAGGGAAGGCAATTTGAATCGTTTGGCTGTGGCAAAGGTAGATCTTTACTCTTCAGTTCGTTGGAATCTATCTGGTCAATCCCACCACCATCAGAAACCCGTCCATCTGTTCCGAAATTCACATACAACAGCTCATAATCTCAGCATTAGCAATAGCCAACAGTACCATGTTATGGAATCCCTTGCAATTGTGATAATAGGAGCTAGAGCCAGGGGTGGAGATATAGCTCTCTATAATATGCTTGCCATCTACAGCACCCAAATAGTTAGGATTTTATAACTGCCATTTAATGTCCAACTGTTGGGGTTACATTTGCTGCCATTCATCCGAATTTCTTGGAAACTGGGGAAAATTTGAAAGAAAAAAAAGGATATACTAGATCTATCATTACCTAAGCAATTCTTGTCAATAAAAACAAACTAACAAACAAACAAACAAACAAACAAAAAACAACAGCAACAAACACATAATAATTTATTAACCTTAATTTACTCCATTTTTATTTTGCCACTCCGACTTTCTTGACCAGATATACAGCCTTGGTTCAACTGATGATTCTGACAACATACAGTCACAGTATGCTGAGGACTTTAGGTCGAGTCCTGAGCCAAGACCAGGATCCAGCTCCAAACGGCCGAGACTGCACAGCCCCCGTGTAGCCACAGAAGAAGATCAGTTCGATTCCTACGGAAAAACCATAGCACATAAGCTCAGGGACCTTCCTCGTGAACAAAGCTTGATTGCGGAAAACTTTTGCAATGTTGCTCTGTTTGAGGCCAGTTTTGGGAACCTCACAAGGGAGACAACATTATCATTAAATTCTCCTGTGGCAGATCATGGCTGTAGAGGGACTCCTGGTGCCAGAGGGACTGCTGGTGCCAGGAGAAGAATCCTGGATTAGGCAAGTTGCCGCTACAGGAGGAATGTGAAGGGGAATTACTGAAAAAATTCTAAAAATCCACATGATCACCTCCCTTCCATATCCGTAAAATTTTCTTCTCAACTTTATTGATTATCTTGGCCTTAATTAATTCGAGAGAGAAGCATTTCCCTTTGTCCTTGCTGGAAGCCATCTTTTCCTCAGTCTTGTTACTTGTGCTGTCTATGTTGTTGTTGTTGTTATCGATCCAGCAACAGCTGGGCTCTCGCCTTTCTGTCCAATGCCATGTAGTGATAAGTGCAGGTTTGCTGCAGTTGCTGTAATGTTCCGTAGAGTGTGTTGTCGAAGTTACATCTCGGAGAGACAAGTGTAGCTCTGGATGTCATTTAGGGCTGTGCAATGGAAAAGGTGATGTTCCACTGTCTCATATGCATAGTCACACAAAGGGCATATTGGGGGAAGTTCTGGTTTTATTCGGTTCAAGTGAAAGTTGAGCTGTAGGCCTATATGTTCTGTTCGACGGAAGAGCGTGGTCTGTTTCTTTCTCTGTAGGTGGTTGATATTGTCGTTTCGTTTTGTTGTAGTCATGTTTGAAGACTGTTCTGCCTGTCTGTCCCAAGGCCTATCTCTGTTCTTCCAATCTTGTTTGCTGTTGCTTTTAATGATTTGTTTTGCAGTGTTGTATGAAGTTGAAATGTTGGGTTGTTCCTGTCTAGATCCCCTTTTGGCGAGTGTGTCTGCTCTGTCATTTCCAGGTATGTTTGAGTGTCCTTGTGCTGCCTATCGTACCGGTAGGCCTACTGTAGTACATTGTATTAATGGAACTAGGAAACCAAGATACCATTGATGTTGAAGTGTATCGGTGTGACTCAAGGAGCTTGGAACACGGAGGGGATAAACATGGGAGGACAAGACGAGGTGAGAAGACAACTTTTAATCTCCTTAGTGTGACTCCTCCTACAATTATAATTAATAATAATTAATATTAATACTCAGTATTTTTACATGTTTGATTCATTTGAAAACTGTGCTGCCCTCATGTACAAGTTAGTTTAACCCTATCGTACGTCGTGTTTTTTCTATCGTATCCGTACGACATGGAGAACTCTGTGCCACCACTTTCCAAAGCGGAAATTTACTCGTTAACCTGATCCGCAAGCTTTGCACAGCAGTCTGTCAAAATGATTTTTTGAGAAATACTGAGAGTTTCAAAGAGATTTTTGTACTAGAAGTATTCTAAAATGTGAAGCATACAACCCCGGGGGTACAAAATGACCCCAGGGCGTACGGATAGGATTAAGGAGAATTATAAGTATAAGTTGAAGTAAAGTGAAGAGTTTTTTCTATTATCCTTTATCAGGCACAGGTATTTAAAGTTCCGTTTATTATGCTAAATTTCCTTTTTTATTTTCTTACATAAAGGCAAGATGCTGACGTTGTTTATTATCTTTATTATTATTAGGTTTATTATTATTATTATTATTATTATTATTATTATTAAGCTTTCTATTATTATTATTATTATTATTATAATTATAATGGTCCGTTCTTGGACCAGTGCTCTTTACACTATATACACAGCCCTTACCAAACATTTGACAAAATCATGGATTGAATTACAGGGGCGAAGGCTGACTTGTTTGACAGGGTAATCAAAGTGAAACGGGACCAGATATGGCCTGTAGATATGACACAAGAATCTTACTCGAGGCGGCGACTCTGAGTTGTGAATGAAAACAAATCCGGAATTCATATTGTATGTTCAACCGCCAAAATAATCGGGAAAGTATCTTATTAAATATCAGTTCCAACTAAAATTAAATTTAACTTTAGATGTGATTACATAAACACAAAGCAAAGAAGCAGAGACGTCAGTACTAAATCTATATGTTATAGATCTACCAGTGAGTCTAACTCTTTGGTAGAACATGACAATTATCATTTTTAAAATTTTACATTTGGCTGTTTTTGTTAGCCTTCCGCAGCCAGGAGCTGGTGTCATAATCGAGGTCACGATCTGATTATAGGACGGTAAAAAGTCGAGGAAAAAAAGCAAGTACTTGCAACAGTGAAGAGATTGTTAGATTTGTGAGGTAGACTCGACCAGTGTTAGTTAGCTTACATAATCAGGGCTTGAGATTGATTTTAACTGTGACCCCAAAGGGGTGAACAGGGTATATGTGGCAATGAAACAGCTAAGACTGCTATGCACATGTTCCCTTCAACTATATTGGTGGACTCTTCCAGCCTCACTTTAAGCTTACTTAATCAAAGCTTGCGACTGCTTATGGAGTGGCCCGAGAGGGGTGAGGAGGCTATTTCTGTGGCCGTGAAACCGTTTTGAATGTTAGGCATACTGTTCATTGTTGATTACGAACGTCTTTTGACATTTAATTTAAGAGGTTTACGTTTATGGATGAATTTGACAGCGACAATGTTTCAAAATTAGGAAGGGAAGCAGTGATTATTTGATTATATAGACGCTTCGCCCCTGTTGAATTATCATTTTTATGCCGATGATTCCCAAATGTATGTTAATGGCACCATTCAAGATCTGCCAAACATGATTTCTATCACTAAAAGTGGATGGCAGTAAACAAATTGAAACTAAACGAAGAAAAGACAGACATCATTCTGATAAAAAATCCATGATTAAATAAAGATTTGGAAAGTGTCAACTTTGATTTATATGGGCATTTGACATCTAGTAAAGAAGTTGTCAAGAATCTTGGTGTAGATCTATATATTGACCACCACTTATCAATGGGCTCATTTATAGGATCTCTGTCCAAATCAATTATTTTCAGCTGAGAAGGATAGGCCTAGTTCGAAAGTACTTAAACGAAGAGACCACAAAAACACTGGTAACATCTCTTATCCTATCTAGATTAGACTATTGTAACTCACTCCTAGCAGGTCTGAACAACAACTATTTGAATCGTTTACAAGTAATTCAAAACAATGCAGCTTGACTGATAACAAGACCTAAAAAACGAGACCATGTCACTCCATTATTAAAAGAACTGCATTGGCTCCCTGTAAAAGAAAGAATAATATTTAAAATCTGCGTCATGTGTTTCAAATGTAAAACTGTTCCTTTTTATCTACAAGAACTTATCAGTATATATTAGCCTGGGAGAAACCTAATATCATCAAACTATAACACCCTACTTGTGACACCTGTAAAATCATAGAAATTCTATGGAGAGAGATCTTTCTCATATCTTGGTCTATTTATGTGGAACAGATTACCCATGAAACTAAGACAAATAAAAACACTTGATTGCTTCAAAAGACACCTTAAACATTTTGTGTTCCTACAGGCCTATCCTTTATAAGTTTTTAACGTTATTTTTCATTATAGTTATATAGTTGTTCTGTTCCTATGTCTGGATGAAAATAGTGTGTATGTGTGTGTGTGTGTGTGTGTGTGTATGTGTGTGTGTGTGTGTGTGTGTGTGTGTGTGTGTGTGTGTGTGTGTGTGTGCGCGTGCATTAATATATATTGCATGAGAAGAAAGGAAGTAGAAAGAAAGGTTTTTGATAAATGGGTATTCCAATGTAAAGCGCATTGAGCTACTTTTTTTGGAAATGCGCTATATAAATGTTATATTATATTATTATTAGGCCTATTACATGCCTTATTATTATTATTTACAAATGTATTATTATTATTGTTATTATTGTTACAGTATTATTGTTACACAGTATTATTATTTTGATGATAATGATGATGATTATTATTATTGAATACCATAACTCATGAAAATTTGCATAATGCTTCAAGGATGTCTTCATGTGTTACCTTGCAAATGAAATGTAGCTCACAGAATAAAGTCAAATATTTCTTTTTTAAAAAAGCGTTTACAGAGGAAAAAAAAGAATTATTGATCTGTGTTTGTTGCGGCCGCGATTTTTTGTCATTTTTTGATCCGTGAATTGCGACCGCGATCTTTGCTTTTTTCCAACAACCCCCCCCCCCCCCAAAAAAAAACCCCCCCCCCCCCCCCAAGAGGCGAAAAGGACCCCCAAAAAAACCCCCCCCCCCCCCCCGGGCGTGTTAAAAAAAAAAAATCAACACCCCCCCCCCCCCGCGGAATAAAAAGCGGGGGTTAAAAAAAAAAAAGAACTGAACCAACCTCTTTCCTTTTTAGAAAGAAAGTTTATTTTCACTTCCGCTTCACATCGTCTCTTTCTCACTTGTTGACACCAAGGAGATGAAGTTGTTTTAAGCTCCTTGGTTGACAGCCATAGAGTTATTTCCTTTTAGATACATCTATGTTGACACCACATTGATTTGTTCTTTTCATGTGAAGAATATATTACACTCTATACACTCTATACATATATATAGCTGTTTCTCTTTTATTTTACCCTCTTTTTTTATTTTAAATTTGTTGGTGTGTTAATTTGTTAATTTTTGGTGTTTATATAGCGTAATGTCAATTAATTAGATGTTGTTCCTACCTTTTTATTATATATAATACATGAGTTTATTTAGTTTTATATCAGAGCGTGTCTGCACCAAAACCGAATACTGACACTGGCAGGCCCCTTGTGTGCGATTCCATAATTTACATGTACATGTAATATCCTGCACTTTTTCTTGAATTTACACACGCTTAGGGGGAAAACTGGGACGCTCAATGTTAAAAATAATCAGGAAACGACAAATGCAGTTTTTGGGACTCATAAATAGACATGAGGTTTTTGAACATGTGTAAATCTAAGTCTAGGTCCACCCATGTAGACTGGCAAAAGTGAGGGCAAACGAGGCAGGGGAAGGCCCAGAACAACATACTTAGGGAACCTAAACGAATGGGTAACAGGGAAAGATCAGGGAACATAGCTTTTTTGAGAGCATCGGAGCAAAGGAATGAATGGAGAACCATGATCGTCAATATCTGTTGCAGATCTGGCCCTGGATGATGATGATGATGATGATGATGATGATGATGATGAGGGGGGAAACGTCCAATCTTCGCATTGGTGGACACACGCCCCTATTTGTTAATATTTAGTGGTTGTCTGTGTTCTGTTCTATTTTTTAAATTTCATTTTGTAGTGA